TTTTCAGTTTATTGAAGGAGGCCGAAGAACCTCGGCAAAGACCTAGGAAAGGGCTGATAAGGCTTGTTTCAGTTTTCCCTAAATTTGAAGGTTCTACGCACAAATCCCAAACCTAAGAACTATAAAGATCAAGATCGAAGGCACAGATCTGGGACAGATACAAAAAAGAGAAAACAAAGACGAAGTTTCAGATTCAAGAACAAAGATGGACTATCAGAAACACGAAGAATACAAAGGGATAAAGGTCAAGAATTATGGCAAGAAAAATATTGAAACAGTACAAATGTTCAAAATATGGGAGAAATCGAGCAACAAAGCAGTAATGGTAAAAGCACATAAAGAGAATAGAAGAATTAAAGGAAATGGTCTTACCAGAACAAATGAAGCCGGGGCAATGTTCGCCGAGCTCAGAAATCGGTTGCAACAGCCAAGAAAGCTTCACAAGAATGGGAGATTAAGGACAGTTCCAGAAGAGAGATCGAAGCAATGGCAGATTCGAAGAAGAAAGAGCTTTCGGAGAGAGAAAGAGCAAGAAATCAGAATGAAAAAGTGAAGGAAAAATAGAGACAAAGAAGAGTTTTGTCAAAAATTTGAAACGGCGGCAAAATTAGGGCAATTATTACGCCTGGAGCAACGCACGCGTCAGACGGCGCAGACAAATGACAGACAGCTTTCAGGCACGTCACAGACACGCTCCAATAAAGACAAAACACATGAAAGGAACGGTTAGATATGCATGACAGCTCATGCGCATGGGAAAGTACGTTCGAAACCTTGTTCTCCGAAGAGAACACGCCGACTGGAAGAGGATTATCTCGGCTAAACAGTTTTTGAGCCATTACTCAGAAAAGAAATGTTGAAATGTCGATATAGGTTCCATCACCTCAGAATGCCGAAGTAATAGAACCTAGGGGGCAGTTGTGTGATTTCTGGAAGGTTGGTGAGTTTGAGCTCTTCAACTGATTCGAATTACTTCGAACCTGTTTGGATCTTGGGCTTCTCTGAAACCAGTAATTACAAGTACTCAGGAGAGTCTGGTAATGGGTGTGATAGTGGGATTGATTTTCCAATTGATCAATCTCTTTCTTTGCCGCCAAGAATGTTCTGTTCATCACAGAGGCGAATCGATGCCGTTTTAAAGTACAAGAACGAGTGCAATTCTTCTACGAAGAAGAAGAATTGCACTGTTCTTGTTGACGGTATTGAGTATTTGCCTCGCGTGATGTCCATGGACTCGATTCAGTGCTCTGAGGAAGAGCGAAAGGTTCGGTTCTTGATACAATTCGGGAACGGTAGTTATATGGGTTACGATCAGCCTTTCGAACCCAATTGCAATTTTATGTTTTGAGTATTAAGTTTTGCACTTGATTATCTTTGAGAGATATACTGACTTGATCGTCGGAGTGCCCCCGGGTAGAAGAACCACCGCCGGAGCCTTTTCTTTCTGTTTCAGGTTGCTAAAGCCATCTATTCTGCTTGTGCTCTCCAGTTGATCACTAAGCAGGCAGTGTGATCAGATTTTCACCCACACACATATATAACATATACTTGTGAAAATAAAATTAGTTTGAAATAAACTTACTTTAAAATAGTAATTCAAATAATTAAAATGAATTCATTTCAAAATTCAATGAACTTACAAGAAAAAATTTAGTACAACAATATTAACACATGATATCACTATATAATTATACTCTATTATAAAATATAATATATCTCACTATACAAATGTAATAATTAATTAATTGTCTTAAATAAATAAATACATTTAAATAAGACCCTTCTATATGATATCTATTAGATGATAATTTCATAATGGTATGCCTTTCTACAGTTGGAGCTCGTGACTTCCAAGAAATAGATATGTTTGAAAAGTCAACACGTCACCTACTCCTTAAAAAAAAAATAAATAAATAAAAAATAAAAATCTCAAATAAGTGGGGTAGTGGAATTTAATTAATTAATTAATTTTTTTAATGAAATGCAAGTTTCTTATGTATGATGCAAGTGTTTAGCGTATCAGGTAGACTTATGTTAAAAATATTTTATCTATAATTATTATTTAATTATTCAACTGAAATGTAATTTAACTCTAAGAAAATACTTAGATGTGTAACATAAAAAATATACATATTTAGAAAAATAAAATTAATTTGAATTAGACCCACCAACAATCCAAATTATTGAAGTCAACCTACTTCAAAACTTGCCGAATTCAAAATCATAATTATTTTTTTCAATAATAACAGTGATATATCACCTTCTATTTAAATAACATCCTTCTATATAATATTTTATTATTAAATAATAATTTTACATGTTATTTATAACATAATATCACCCTTACACAATTTTTACTTTCCTTATCCACATTCACTATACTTAAATTGACCAAATGATCAAACACCATTATAAAGTTCTACTCTCTCCACAACATCTAGTGAACTCATCTCTTTCATTATCTTCATCTTCTTTTTGAAATGAAGAAATTTGCAACTATGTCTCTTCAATCTTTCTTGCTTCTCTCTCTCTTCACCATCTTCTCTACAATTCCAATCGCTTCTTCAACCCCACCATCACTCTCTTACTCTGATCACTGCTCTTCAACTGTCCCTGAATCAAACCCAACTATCCCTGACTACACAATCTACCCCCATCTCCAATCACCCTTCAGCTACTACCACGGCGGCGATGGACTTCTCACCACCACCACCACCACCACCTCCACCACCAACTTCTCTCAATTCTCTTTCAATCACCACAAATATATCTCATTCGAACCCACCAAACACATCTTCAAAACCAATACAAATGGAGTTTACAAAATCGAAGCCTACCTTCACTTGCAATCCACAAACGATTATTACTACTCTCGCCATGGCCGATATTTCAACGATTCTCGGAGTTCAGTGAAGTTTTTGCTAAATGGGTTTTTGTCAGAGAAATCTGGGAAAATTTGCATGGTGGGTTCAGCAAAAAATCTCAATTTCCATGCAGTTTTGAAGCTCAACTATGTCATGAATCCCACCATAGTTGATAGCTTGATTTCTGGAAGGTTGGTGAGTTTGAGCTCTTCAACTGATTCGAATTACTTCGAACCTGTTTGGATCTTGGGCTTCTCTGAAACCCGTAATTACAAGTACTCAGGAGAGTCTGGTAATGGGTGTGATAGTGGGATTGATTTTCCAACTGATCAATCTCTTTCGTTGCCGCCAAGAAAGTTCTGTTCATCACAGAGGCGAATCGATGCCGTTTTAACGTACAAGAACGAGTGCAATTCTTCTACGAAGAAGAAGAATTGCACTGTTCTTGATGACGGTATTGATTATTTGCCTCGCGTGATGTCCATGGACTCGATTCAGTGCTCTGAGGAAGAGCGAAAGGTTCGGTTCTTGATACAATTCGGGAACGGTAGTTATATGGGTTACGATCAGCCTTTCGAACCCAATTCAACGCTGGTTGCAGAAGCGTCGTGGGATGCGGAAAAGAGCCAGTTATGCATAGTTGCTTGTAGAGTCTTGAAAGACGATCACGTTGGCAATTGCTCGATCAGGATGAGCTTGAGGTACCCTGCTTTGTGGTCAATCAAGAACAGGGAAGCTATTGTTGGGCAGATTTGGACTAACAAGACTGTCAATGAAGCAGGTTATTTCAACAAAATCATGTTTGGAAGCTATGAAAATAACATGGTTGGGGTTTCTGGTTTGAGATATAATTATACCCAAATGGAAAGAGTGAGAAAATCATGCCCAATGAACAACAACAATCCTGTTAAAAGAAAGGGGGAGAGATATCCCGAGGCGAAGTCTTATGACATGAGGCTTCACAACATGAGAATCAAAGATTCCAAGGGGAAAAATGCTTGGGGTACTGCATATCCCGTGTTGGTGGGGGATGAAAGTTATGAAGACAATTCCATGGTCGTGTTCAGCTCAGTGCGCGATGAGTCTGAAATGGAGGCAAAGAGAAGCTATACTGGCCCATTGAATATAAGCTATGCCATAAGTATTTATGGCATTTCATCCCTTACTAATCTTGCCTCCAATCCACTCAACACACTTCAAATTTCTGCAGAAGGTGTCTATGATGAGGAAACAGGAAATCTCTGTATGGTAGGGTGTACAAAGCTGAGTAAAGATGGTCAGAGATCAAAAACTGAATCAATTGACTGTGAGGTGGTTGTGAAATTCCAATACCAACCGATGAATTCAAAAAATGGGGGTCAAATCAAGGGAACCATTCAGAGCACGAGGAAGGAAACCGACCCTCTTTACTTCGCACAATTGGAAGTGTCTGCATCGACATACTACACCGAGGATGCGAGGAATTCAATATGGCGAATGGATTTGGAAATCGCCATGGTTTTGATCTCCAACACGCTCACTTGTGTCTTCGTGGTGTTACAAATCTTTTACGTGAGGAAAAACCCGGGATTGCTTCCCCTTGCGTCTCTTGTCATGCTTGTGATCCTTGTTTTCGGGCACATGATTCCACTTGTGTTGAACTTTGAGACCCTCTTCTTGGAAAAACGCGATAGGCGTAGGCAATTGCTCAGGAGTGGTGGATGGTTTGAAGTTAATGAGGTGATGGTGAGAATTGTCACAATGGCGGCTTTCTTGTTGCAATTCCGACTACTCCAATTGACATGGTCTGCGCGATTGGGAGGCGAAAAAAACCAAAAGGCCTCGTGGGTTGCAGAAAAAAAGGCTCTATTTGTGTCAACACCATTATACATAGTCGGGTTTTTGGTTGCATTGTTTCTCAATTTGAGGAACAATAAGTCCGACAATTCAATGTATTCTTCCTATGATGTTGCTGCTACTACTGTTGTACATCAACAAAATTCTCTATGGGGCGATCTAAAATCTTATGGTGGTTTGGTCCTTGATGGGTTCCTCTTCCCTCAAATCCTCCTCAACATGTTCCGAATTTCAGGCGAAAAACCCCTTTCGCGCTCGTTCTACATTGGAACAACATTTGTTCGCTTGTTACCACACGCGTACGATCTTTACAGGGCTCACAACTACGCTCGCGAACAATTTGAAGAGTCATATATCTATGCAAACCCGAGCGCAGATTATTATTCCACAGCTTGGGATGTCGGTATTACTTGTGGGGGTGTAGCATTCGCAATCATCATTTACTTGCAGCAGCGATTTGGGGGCCGGTTTTTCCTTCCCCGGAGATTTAGGGAGGCAGAAGCAGTGTATGAGAAGGTGCCTGTGGTAAGCAGTGAGTAAATTGTTAGAGGAAATAAGCTTTTAAAATAATTGTTTGTTTTGCAATTATAGGTTTTGTGTGTTCTAACCTTGTAAGTTTGTGCTAAGCCATCTCTGTCTATGTATCTTGAACAAGAAAAAATGATATCTCGTGTATCTAGTTGCAGTAAGGTGCAGAAAAAATGATATCTTGTGTATCTGGTTGCAGAAAATATTTTCTTAAGCAAAACTTTTCCGGGAAAATATCTTATGCAGAAAATGTTTTTAATTTTTTTTCCAATATCAAGAATTGTACTTGAAGGATTATCACTATGATTCCTTTGAAATCTAAAGAAATAATTTCATAGATTTACATTGCTGAGTGAAGGAATGTGAATAATGGAAGAGAAAATTGTGCAAGGAAAAGAATAGTTAATGAAAGAGCAGAATTAGATTAGGTTCATTTGATTAGATTTTCCATTTCACTATGCTATCGACATTAACATTTACTAACGAGATAGTATGAATTATTTGATGAGATTAGGGGAGATTTTCTCCTAATCTATTATGATTTGTTTGGATTATCCTTTTAATTCATGGTATAAATTAACACTATAAATACCTATTTGACAAAATGCCATCAACCAACCAATTTTAGTTAAAGAAGTTAATTTGTATAAACTACCCTCTAGGTTTTTAAATATCGATGGACACTACTCTCTAGGTTTTTAAATATCAATGGATACATATTAAAATTTTAAATTATATACGATACAGAGATACTATTTAGACCTTATTCTTTATGGAATGAATCTTCAATTCCCGAATGCCACGACAACGTACATAGATGAGAATCAAAGAGCCAAAGAAATCAAATCAAGCATACTCTCACTACTTCCTAGTGACAGAAATTGGATATCACTTTCATATGTACCCAGGCTTATGGTACAACACAAACGGCCTAAAATCAGTCAAGCTAGTCCAGCAACAATTTAAACCTAGACCGACTGATGTCCTCCTCAGCACGATCCCAAAATGGGGCACAACATGGCTCAAGGCCTTGTGTTTTGCCATAGTGAACCGAAACCAATTTCAATACCTTACCCACCCTTTGCTAACCACAAGCCCTCGTGAATGTGTGCCATTCTTGGAAATGTATGCTGACCAAAACCCGAAAAACCCAATTTTAGATCTTCCCTTGGTGGCCACACACATTCCTTACACCTATCTACCAGAGTCAATATCGACTTCCATTGTAAAATTGTTTACATGATTCAAAATCCAAAAGATGCGTTTGTTTCTCTGGGCACTTCATCAATAATGTAAAATAAATTGATGTATATTATTGATTGATTTGTGTATTACAAGATTGTTATGTATTGTTATGTTTACAATGATCATATATATAGAAGAAAATGTGGTAGTAGGTGTAGGTGGTAGGTGGAGTGAAGTGGAGGTGGTAGGTGGAGTGGGTGGTAGTGGAGGTGGTAGGTGGAGTGGTGATTTATTATTTACAATTTACATTAACAGCCCCCCTCAAACTCAAGGAGGATAGGTACTAGCCAACTTGAGTTTGGAGAGAGTAACAAAACAGAAAAATAAACTGATAAATAAAAATTAAAAATGGGATAGGAGACACTGTATGGTCGCGGCCCAGAAGAGATGTTGAGTTACTTCGGTCCGTGCAACTTTTCTAGTTAGGCCGGTCTTGGAGATAGTCCGGTCATGATGTATTCTGGGTAGGTCGGTCGGAATGTTTCTACTCGGTAGATCGGTCCAAACACACCATGGTTCGTGCATGAGAGAACCAAAATATGGAGTAGCAAGAAGAAGAACCGAACTACTGTTAGTACGACCTACTCTGTGGCTCGGTATAGCCAGGTTTATCTTGGTCGTATGACAGTTCGGCCATGGTGAAAACCATCCCACTTGTTTAAGCAGTGGGGGGGTGTAAAAGGATAAGCATTATCCTACAGGAGTATGAATCCTAGAAGGACTCTACATGGAGGAGTAAAAGTCCTACTAGGATTGTGCCACTCAAAACCTATAAAAGCTCAGAAGCTTCACCTTGGAGGAGGTAACATAACACAACATACAATTTTGCCTACTGAATACGTTGAGCTTTGTCTATTTGTCAAGTTTTCTGACTTAGGCATCGGAGAGGTTTCCGGCACACACCCGCCGGCTAGCTCACGATTGTGTTTTTAGGTGACAAAGCGACGTCGTACGGAGGAGCGTGGACTTAGTCAACAGGATTATACGAGGAGAATTATTTCTTCCCCGTACAATTGGCGCCGTCTGTGGGAAAAAAAAGACAGAACAAAACCTCTTGATTAAAGCTTCTCTCCTTTACGTTTAATGGCACACATCGAAGAATTGCCGCAGTCCGCCGTCGACGGACTAACTCCAGAAGGGGGCGCAAGACGTGAAGGATTACCTTCTGTCCCTCCCATGGCGGACTTGGAACCCCAACGACATACCTCCAGGAGGGATACTAGAGGAAGACGGACTCACAGCCCCCGTCAATCCCATTCTCAAAGTCCAGACAGGCAAAGACGGAGGATTGACCCTCAAGCTCTGGAAGACCGCGTGAAAGAACAAGATGAATTGATAAGAAAGATGGCGGCGGACATGGAGGCCTTGAAACGCCAGATGAAGAAAAAAGAAGTGGCGACAGGAGAGGGGCGCAAAAACAAGACGCCCCCTCGCCACTCGGAAAATCGTAGTAGGAATACTACACCTTCACAAGGAGAGAGTAGAAGCCTCAGGACAGGCGATACTCAATCATGGTCCTCCAGAACTCGTCACTCCAGGTCTGAGAGGACAAAGCCTGAAAGATCATACACTGAAGGAAGCACATACTGGCCCTCTCATTCGCATCAAACTAGATCTAGACAGACGGAATTACCAGATCATCCGACTTACGAACCGTGCTCGAAAAGAAAGCACGATGCAAGGAGAATGCCAGGGCGCGGGATCCGTACAGAGTTTCTGCCTTACAGCGGTTGGCTCCTCGGATGCACGGAAGCGTCGAGGTTGGAATGCCAATACCGCGCCCAGCCTATGAACCAACGGACAAAGCATTAGCAAGACTACAGACTTCACCGTTTGTTCCAGCAATCGAGAACGCGCCCCTACCATCAGGCTTCCTTCAGCCGAAATTCACTACATATGAAGGGAAGACGGACCCATACTCACACTTGAGCCACTTTCGCCAGGTCATGGCCGTTTACAGGCGAAACGAGGCCTTAATGTGCATACTCTTCCCATCAAGCCTTGGCGACCTAGGCTTGACTTGGTTCGAGAAACTCCCAGAAGGCAGCATAGCCTCTTGGGCACAATTGGCAGAAGCCTTCGTGACAAGGTTTCGGACAAATACTAAAACTCCGGTAGAGATCGACCAGCTACTCTCTATCGACATAGGTGATAAGGAGACCCTGAGATCCTACAACAGTCGCTACTGGGAGACATTTAATCAGATTGGGGACTGCCCCACCAATCTCGCCATTGCGCAATATAAAAGAGGCCTTCCAGTCGGGAACAGACTGAGGGACTCGATCACCATGACGCCACCCCTTACCATGGAAGCCCT